GGAATGAAATTAGAAACAGAATTATTGGTTTTATTAAAGACCATGGGAGGTTACATGATCTGGACAGAACTTTTTGGACATATTTAAGAGGAAAAATTTCCAAACTACACTCATAAAAATGGTAGATTCTGAGCTAACAGACAATGTGGTGATATAGCTCCAATCTGGGAGTCAAGGAGATTTGGATTCTGGTCTTGGTTATGACTTTAACTAGCTAGATCTGTGACCCTGGCTAAGTCAGTTAGCTTCTGTGAGCTTCAGTACCTCACCTCTCTAACCTTGGACGTTAGAACCAGAATCACAGGATGACAGAGTTAGAGTTAGAAGGGTTAAACCAGGGGTATCAAACTCAAACGGAAAGAGGAGGCTACTGAATCATACATAAGTATCCCTGTGGGCTGCTTATTAACTTAGAAAACCACATGGATTTATGTATTCCTATCTTTTTTTTTTTTAATGACTGTATCAATGCATTAAAATCAGATAGAAGCTACATTTTAATCTGGTTTGGGCCCATGTTTAACATCTTGGATCTAGACCAACCCTTCCTCTCTTCAATTTACAAATGAGGAAACTGAGGCCTAGAGAGACAGTCCAGTTAACCAAGGTCACACAGGAAAGTAAGTAGCAGAGCCAGGATGAGAACATAGGTTTTCTGCCTACAAAGCTATCACTCTTCCCACTGTGCCACTGGTTTATAACTTCCTTTCTAGCTCTAACATTCTGTTCACTCCGCTCTGATCCCAAAAAGGGAGGCAGAGTTCACAATGCTACTGCCTTCACCAAGCCTAACAATTCTATGGGCATCGTCAGGAAGGACATTAAACGTATGTGTGCGTGTGTGTTCGTGTACACACACACGCATGCACACATACATCCTTACCATTGTACAAAACACTGACTGATGCTCTTGGTGACTCTTTTCCTTCCTGTTGCTGTATCTCAAGGAGGACACTCCCAAAGGAGGTAAAAGTTTTAAGGACCATTGAAAAGGACACAGGATAGAGCTTCTTCTGGGTAAGGTTAGATGAAAATTTTGAGGGTACTTTGGTAGAGGAAGGTGAAGCTGAGAGAGATGTGATCACCCTTTCAAACATTATAAGGCAAGAATAGAGCAGATGTTGGTTTGTTGAGCAAATTCCAGAAACACTGGAACCAGAAGCCCAAAGAGAGGTAGCTAGGAAAATAAGACAAAGAACTTTTTTTTTTTTAATTAGAATTTATAAGTTCAAATCCAGTCTCAGACAACACACTTGACACTTACTAGCTGTGTGGCCCTGGGCAAGTCACTTAACCCCAATTGTCTCACAAAAAAACAAAAACAAACAAAAAAATAAATTAAAATTTGTAGGTTTCTGGAACTTAGTACCTCAAGATGTAGTACAGGCTGGCTTCAGGAAGGGTTTTTTGATATTTGGAGGCAGTAAATCCCTAGGGCTATTAAAGCAATGTAGCATTGTCTTGGGGCATATCTTTAATTTTTCTGCAGTAATCAAGGCCCTCCATAGACTCTCTCATTATTTCTGTTGGAACCAGGCTGTTGATTTATGATTAAAATTGCAAGATTTAAGTTCTTTTGACAGATTAGTTTTGAGTCCCAGTGGCTGATAGAGAAAGGTTTCATTGTGACTTCTAATAGGATGAAATGGGCAGACCAGTGGCCCAGGAGTAGAGACCTAGTGTGGAGGCCTGATTCTGCCACTAACTTACTGCATCACTTAGACTGGATTTTGGATTTCGTTTTCCTTTTCTGCAAAGTGAGAAGTTAGGACTTGATAGTCCCTTAGAAGCCCCCTACCTGTTCTAACAATCTGAGATTCTACACATGCCAAATTTGCATTGAAATAATTAGAAAGTAGTACTGCTAGCTAGTTTAGAGTAAATCATGGAGGCTATTGGGGTTCAGTGGAAATAACTCTGTATTTGAAAGCAGTTAGAAGAGTTGAGTTCAGTTCCCAGAACTGACCCTTAACCAGCTGCATAATCTTGGGCAAGTCACACCCTCTCTGGACCTCAGTTTCCTCATCTGTAAAATGAAGGCATTGGACTAAATAATACCTAAGTTCCCTTCCAGCTCTAAATCCAATAACATTCCATTTTTCCTATGTTACCGTGGCTTTAATAAACCTAAATGAACTCTTGATTATCTGAACCAGTGATTGGGAGGAGGAGCATTGATGTGGATTATTGAAAATTTTGTGTAACTGTTTCTACCTCATCCCCAGAAAACTTGTATAAGTTCATGTAAGGCCATGAGACTTCTCTCCATGATACAGTTTTATATATCGGGAAGCAGGGCCATGCCCACTCCTGCTCTAGGTGTCCATGACTCCCTTTTAGAAGTCTACTGAAATGACTTATGAGACTGATGGAGAAAAAGTGAAGCATATGAACTGAGCATAAATATTTTGAAAAGTACTTCTGCATCATTAGGCTAATTTAAAAAAAGGTATTTGAAACTGCTATTACTGTCTGATAACAGGAAATGATAATTCTTTAATAAGAGCCTATATGTTTAGAGAGTTTTATCCTTGTTTCTTAGAATTTTATGTGGAATATCTCACTTTCAATACTTATCATTTTTGTGTAGGAAATCTTTTAAAATGCTTTCCTCTATGCTTCAGAAATATAAATTTTATGGATAAGTCAATATTATATGCTCCCCTAGAGATTCAGTAACAGTAATTTAAACAGTACTGTCTCATTTTTTTGCTTCTTCTAGTGGAAGCCTTTTAAGTTAAAATCGAAGGTAGAACAACCTAAACATTGTTGGATAAAATACTGTTGATTTTTCTGGTCTCCCCTTCCCCAGCCCTCTAATGCTTTTCTGAAAACCATTTGTGGGATTTGGAGACCTGGGTTCTAATTCTGCCTGTAACCCATTCTGTGACCCCAGGCAAGTCACTCCCTTCTCTAGGTCTTAGTTCATTATATGTTAAATGAGGTAATTGGGTATTTATATCCCTTTCCTATCTAATTCATGATATTTTTGAATGGACTAGGGAAATGAGAAGGTGATTATAAGCAGGCTGCAAATATTAAATATAAAAGAAACAACAAAGCCCTTCTGTATTTTATTCTGTTATATCATATGGGTACTTTTCTACCACACTAAGAAACTGCCACCTTTTAGTTTTGACTTAGATCTTACTCAGAGGCTTGAGTAGGAAATTGACAAATTGTTCTATTGCCACTTTGCAATTCTTTTTTTTTAACCTACCAATAAGATGCAGAGAGGGTCCAAATATCTGTCTTTGCTTCTATAGTGTGGAATGAGCTTTTATTGATTTAAATGATTATTGGAATGCATGGGATTTTTTTGTTTGTTTCTAAACAGGATTGCTGAACTATTGCATAATGTTTCACCAACTGCTATGACCTTGTTTCAGAAAATGGCAATTCTAAATTGAAACTAATAATCTCTCTTTTGCTCTCTCTTGCTGTGTCTTTGTGTCTCAGTCCCTATCTCTGTCTTTTGAGTAAGAGGGCGTATGCCAGATTTCCTGGGGTCAGGGTTGGGGTGCTTTTGCTTCATTCTTCTCTCAAGTTCCCAAAGGGGTTTTAAAATGAATGATCCCCAATCTTTTGGTAATTGTTGACACACTTTCTATTGTTCTGTGGTATAATTTCCTTCTAATAAGTGAATAAATGAAAAAACATTTATTAAATGCTTACTGTATGCCAAGTATGGTGTCAAGGGCAGGCGATCTAAATAGAAAAAGCAAGATTGCTCTCAAGGAGATCACAGTCTTGCTAAGGGAGATAATACATAAGAGCTTGGCTTTGGGGTTGATGGGAAGATTAAAATACTCTTTTGAGAATTTTATAACCAGTCTTAGGGTCATTGGAGACCACCTGGCAAAGCCAAGAGTAAAAATCAGAGATTTAAGCTAAAAGCACCATTTCCAGGAACTATATTTTATGAATCTTTTAAGCAGAATAGCTAAGTATCTGGCTTCTGCTATTTTATTAGTCCAGAAGTGATTGTTCCAGCATTCTAGGAAGCTGCCAACAAAGACCATGTAGCAGTTGTGAGTACTTTAATTTAGGAAGTGTCAGCATGGTTATATGGTAGAATGGAGCAGTAAGTAGACTGTGAATCATCGAAGCTGAGAGCTAGGCCCTATTTGGCTACTGACTAGCTGTGTGACCTTGGACAAATTACTCCCTTTCCTTGGGATTTAGCTTCCTCACCCTATACAACCAAGGGGATTGAAGTGGATAGCCTCTTTCAGCTCTGAAATTCTATGATTGATTGAAATTATCTATATCTGGGTATGGCTAAGATGGTGGACTGAGCATAGAAGGACCCGGGCCATGGAAATTCTCTTAACTTTTCAGTGCCTCAAACAACTTTCTAACACCGTTATGGGGACTAAATAGATCTCTGTATCTGTATAGAGAAGGGAGTTCCCTTTATCTTTGAAACCACAGATGTCTCTTCCTCTTCCCAACTCCCAGTCTCCTGTCATGTACCAAAGATTGAGTACGTTATACTGTCTGTCTCCCATCTCTATTTTTTATAGTTGTATGCTAAATCAATGTGAGAATTCTGCCTTTTCTGTTTCCTCCAAGTATCAAAGTACATAACCTTTGTGTATGTGTGTCATTTTGTTACTTGGATCAAAAGGTCAAGGTGAGAGGTTAAATGTAGAATAAAAACTTAATCCTGAGTTGCATTTATAATTCTGGTATACTAATACATATTGAGGTCTGCTAAATTCTCAGAGCTTTGTGACAGAAGCCTGCGGCTTAATCTTAGGATGGGGGCATGGTTCTGAGACTTTGCATATGCATATTTTATGATTTTATTTTTAAAGCCTCTGTAATGGTTGTTTCCTCTAACAGATTTAAGATGTAAAACCATCTGTTTTATTGCTGTTTTAGCTCCTTGGGAATGTTCTTGTCTTGTAATAGTTGTGAGGCTATTAAGTTGAACATTTAGGCTTTTTTTTCCTTTCTGCTCACCAACATCTATTTATTTATTTATTTATTTTTAGGACGCATGGGAATAAATTTCCATCACCCAGGAACAGATAACATTATGGCACTTAACAGTAAGTGTTTGTCTGACATAATCTCTAAAAATAGAAGTCGTCTGCATATGTTTTCTAGTTTTTACAGTTGATTCATTGTAATTCAAAGCCTTTGGTGTTGACTATCGTCCTTGACTGTAGATTTTGGGTGTGAGGTGGAATACTAATGTGATTAGACACTAAACTTGTTTTGGGGATTGCTATTTGGGTATGAATTGGACTAGATGCTGCTGAAGTCTCTTTCAACCCTTCAAATTCTATGATGATTCAATTGGCAGCAGACCTGAAGATAACCATCTGCAAGAAAAGAAAATGAGTTTATTTACTGCTGCAGTAGAGTAAATAAGGTTATCGGAAGAAGACTGAGTGAAGCCCATACACATATCTCCAAGTGTGCATGTGTCTATTTGTTATCAGGCTCATTGTGTGTCACTCATTTTCATGTGTTCTGTATTTCAGATATATGATCCACCTTGCCATTCCTTACACAGGATCGTCCATGTCCTTTTTATGTTCCCATGCACAGGGCTACCCTCTGTGCCTGGAATGTCATTAGCCTCCTCACTTCCACCTTTTAGAATTCTTGGTTGTGATTAAAAGGGCACCTCTTCTATTAAGTCTTTCTTGATTTCTCCCTCCTCCCCGAAACTAGTGCCTCCTTCCCCCAAATTAACCTTGTGTTTATTCTGTATGTACTTCTGTGTATACACATTGTCTGTCCTGATGGAATGTAAGTTTTGTGAGGGAAAGGCCCCTTTCACTTAAGTCATTTTTGATTTTTGTTGTTGTTCAGTCGTATTTGACTCTTTGTGACTCCATTTGGGGTTTTCTTGGCAAAGATGTTGGAGTGGTTCGCCATTTCCTTCTCAAGTTTATTTTACAGATGAGGTAATGGAGGCAAACAGGGTTAAGTGACTTGACCAGAGTCACACAGCTAGTGAGTATCTGAGGCCAGATTTGAGTCTTTCTGACGCTAGACCCAGTGCTCTAACCACTGAACCACCTACCTGCTCCTTAAATAATTACGTCCCTGGAACCTAGTCCAAGACAGAGTCTCTTAAATACTCACTGGTCAATTGTCAGTAAGATGAGTATTGGCCAACAGTCTATTTTAGGCTTGGCTTTTGGTGAGTTTTATACATTTGTGGGATCACCATGATCTGGTTCTCCTTACCTATGCATGTTCAAAGACTTTTTGTTCAGTTCACCCAGGAGTGACCTCTTGCTCTGGACAATCAACATAGACTAACCAAACACAGAAGGAAATAACCCAAAAACCAAAGTGACTATTAATTGACAATGAGAAATATATGGGATGTCACGAAAGTCTTAGGGCAGTTTTACACCTATTAAAGCTTTAAGCTGCACTAAGACTTTTGGGACACCCTGTATCTTTCACCTTACAGCCCCCCATCTTTTCTTCCAGCAACATAGATAGTAGAAATTGCTTAACTGAATATTGAATGGTTTTTCCAAGCCATTTTGAGCACTCTTTGGCCACTTTAACATGGGTGGAAGCATGGTATAGTTTCAAGAGCAATGGTGGCTTAAGAATCGGGGAACCTAGATTCATGTCCTAATTAGGTTAGTAACTAGAAGTATGATCTTGGGCAGACCAGCTCACCTCTTAGGAGTTCCCTTACCTCCAAAATGAAGTATCTGGATTTATCTGGATTTATCTCTGAGGTTCTGTGAGCTCACCCATAATTTACAACCACATTCATGAATGTCACCTATGTGTCAGTAAGTCCTGAGGAATGAAAACTCAGTATTTGTTACTCAGGCCCATTGTAATGACTCTTATTATGAAAAAAACAACAACAACAAAAACCCAAAGATGATTAGAAATTGCTTCTCAAACCTTGTCCTGCTGAGCAGATTGCCAAGGCAAGCACTCAGACCCTACTTTGACCAAGGAAAGATAGACTGTGGAATGGTGTTGGTACTCACAATTCTTAAGTAGACTGTCATTCACAGAAGGTCATGATCATGCAGTAGTTCAGAAGCATCACCCTGATCCAGATTAAAACATTGTTCCTATCTGATTTCAATGTGTTGATGTAATAAAAAAAAGAAGGGTATAAACATGTGTGGTGTTTTAAGTCATTATGCAGCCCACAGGGATCCTTCTGTACAGCTTAGTGGTCCCCATTTCTATTTCAGTTTGACACCACATTTTCAAAGCATATGGATTTTTTTGACTATTTTTTGCATTAAACTCATTGCTAGTAAATGCTTTTATGCCCGTAAGTTCACAAATGTAACCTGGCAAAAATTATTTTTATCTTTAAAGCCCTCAAGATAAAACTATTTCCCTATGAAATTTAGCAGATGAAATTGTCAACCACTAACCTTCCATTTCTATAGCAGGAAATTAGGAAGGTGTTTTTCCTTTGTTTTCCTCAGTTGAGAATAAGGAAAAGATGAGGTTTGAGAATTATACAAACCTCAAAGTAGAAATTTAAACACTTTCCTATAAAAAATTCTTGGTAGTTTTTTTTCCCCTTTTCATATCTAAATATATGTTGCTGCTACTGTTGCCGTTTTTAAAACAGAATGAATCAGTAGGTTAAATATGTGCTTCACAGAGCTTTTGGAAATAGGAACTCTGGTGTAATAATAGAAACTTTATTGTTTGTTATTGTTATTAGCTTACATGAAGTCTCCAAAGGGACTTCTCAAGGTTTTGTTTATTTGAAGGCTTCAGCTTTTAAGTGTAGAACAAAAGGACGTGGAGTCTTCTTGACCCTAATGGCTTTCCCTATCACCTGTGACTTCTGCCTTTGGAAAAATGCCAGTTACTTGAGTGTTGATTAACTAAACTTTTATACTATCATCAGCTGTTTCTTGAACTGAGTTGTAAAGAGGGAAAACAAATTATTTGCTTCTTCAAGGTAAAGCTAAAATGAAATCTATTTACTGGTCATAGGATCATAGAGCTGGACATGACCTTGGAAGGACAAATAGCCCACTTCCCCTCATTTTACAGATAAGCAAACTGAGGCCCAGAGAGGTTAAATGTCTTGCTTCAGGGTCACATTGGAAGTAGATTGAACCCAAATGTCTCTTTCTAAATCCATGATCAAAATTTCACACAACTGTTCTGGGTGGGACTAGTAAGTCGAGGTAATAGAAATTCTAAGACCAAGTAAATTTTTTTACTCGTATTTTACTTAGTTGGAACCAATACATTTATTAGTCACACTTCTCTGTTGGCTGACAAAATTACGTTACTTTGATAAGTCATTCTAAAGAGACCCAAGTTTTTTGATAGAGATAAGAGTGTAGCACATTTAGGGTACAAGAATGTGTCTCCCTCATAAAATGAGTCTTATGTCACCAGATATTATGACCTTAAAAGGTTTCATTTACCTGTGTGATTTTAAGGCATGCCATTAAGTTCTTTACCTTTGAGGGAATATTTTCTTCTCCAGTTGGCAAAAAAGCGGATTAAATGAAATGACTAGGCAGAATTACATTCTCCCAACTTAAGGAATTTCTTCCTCTCTCTTTCTCTTTTTTCCCCAAATCTTATAACATAACTTAATCTTAAATGTGAGCAGCTAGGCAACACGGTGGATAGAGTACTGAGCCTGGAGTCAGGAACACTCATCTTCCTGAGTTCTAGTATCTAGCCTCAGATACTTACTAGCTGTGTGACCCTGGGCAAGTCACTTAACCCTGTTTGCCTCAGTTTCTTCATCTAATGTAAAATGAGCTAGAGAAGGAAATGGTAACCCACTCTAGTATCTTAGCCAAGAAAACTCTGAATGGGATCACAAAGAGTCAGATACAACTGAAAATAACTGAACAAGAAAACTTAAATGACTTCTATCTTGGTGTATGGTTGACTGGGAATAGTTTCCCATAATGTTAAATTATTTTTAAGCCAGTTACTATTTAAATACTTTTTAAAAAAGAAAACCACAGAGCTGTTAGAGTCAATACTTAATCCTCCTTCCTTTTGCTACCTAGTTGGATTCTGGGCTTCAGAGGTTACTAGCAGGGGGCTCTGGCCAGATGAAGATGAGTATTTCAGACAAAAACTCATCAAAAATCTCCCAATTGGATTTTCATCACGTAAGCTCCCTCCAAGTTCAAGGCATGGATCCCCACTGGGTGGCAAAGAATGTAGTTGTTTGGGATGGTGTATCATTATTTCTTTTACAAGGTACTTCATATTTATTTACAGAACATATAAAAAAATTCTGTGCTTTGCTTGTCCCAATTTCACAGAAACAGATCAAATCCGAAGTGATTGTCATCAAGAAGAATTTATTAAACTGCTAAATCATGCATGATACCATCCTGGAGCAGAGTAAAACAGATAAAACAGACTTTTTCTCTGCTCAGGATTTGAGCTTCTAATAATAATACAATATTTATGTAGCTCTTTAAAGTTTACAAAGCATTTCCCTCACAAGAACCCTGAGTGGTCACTTTTAAAGATGAGGAAACTGAGGCTCAGAGAAGTGACTTGACCAAGGTCATACCCTCTCAGAGGAGGTATGGGAGGTGCACTAGGTTGCCTTTTTAAGATAACTCTGATTCAGGCAATCACAAAAGGCATAAAAATACATAAGTAAAAATTACTTGCCTTGTCTCTATATCAAGGGATAAGTGCATTTGAAGGTTGTTAGAAGAGGTGTTCTAGAGTCTCAAGTTTGGCCAGAGAATGGTTGGGTCAAGCTGTTGCTTGCCTTCTGATTTTCACAGGGGTGGTACTCTGGGTGCTATTTGGGAGAAGGTCCTGATGTAATAGGATATTAAGGGAGAGGAATAGAAGGAATGGATGTGTGTTTAGATGTACATACGTGAGCAAAAGAAAATAGGTGTGGGGGGGAGCTGAACTATGATGTCATTGGTATGGGCAAGTTTCTGTAAGGAAACTCTGCCAGTGCAGGTGTGCAGTTATTCTGCAATTTACTGTCTTAAGTAGTTAGTATGGCATTGAGAGATTCAAGATCAGTCAGCCAGCAAGCACATAACCGTGTTCCAGGTAACACATAAAGTGTTAGGGA